AATACTTTCAATGACGTGAAATTTGGTGCATGGAAAAAAGAGAAAAACAATAATTGTTGCTGATGAAATGCTAAATGTGATGACTCAATTCAGAAAAACTTGACAGGAATAGGATGATGGGTAGAACGATGGACTCTGTCTGGCCAGCCGCAGAGTATTGTGCTGTTTGTGTCTCTTACCACCTGTTCAGGTTATCTAAGCTGAAGAAGCTCAAGGAAGGTGAACACAGGGGTCACCTGTGTGAGTTTGTGATCAACGTTCCCAGAGAGGTGTCAGATGAGTATGAACTAGAATATGAACCATTGACTTATCGATAGTGAATGATAATTGATAATTGTATGTTGATAATAATTATAGAATTTAGATAGATGACTGATGGAGTTTTGTGATATTGTGGGAGAAGGATGTTTGTTCAAATTTCACTGATAATGCAGCTCCAAACGAGTCGCTGATAGAGGAGTTGCAAGTCCAATGACAGGGGTTTGAAGGATGGATGGTGGACAGATGTCCGAGGAAATGCCCCTGACGAGGGGGAATGGAATGGCGTGCAGGGGGGAAAAAGTCACCGGTTCTACTCCCTGAACTGAGAACGTCACACATCAAATGAGGGTGTTATCATTTATCATGAATGAGGGTTCTTTAAGATTCATACTGATCTGGCTGTGACACTTTATTAACATCAACTTGACATCATTTATCATTATTAACATCTAATTAATGTTACCAGTAGAGTAAAGGGTTTTCTATTTTCTGATTTTGCTTTTAAAAATATAGATGGAGGAGCGTTTTTAAAATATATTTTTAGCCAATCAAACACTTGAAACTGTGAACTTAATGATTTTATAAAGCTATGAGTTAATTAATGATAATTGCTAGACTAGAGTTGTTTGGATTTTTACATGTACTGAAATGATTATAGAACACTGTTTTGACATTACAAATATTTATAGGTTGTGTTTACAATGCTAATTAATTAATGATGTGATTACATCTAAAGCTAAGCATTGGGGACTTTTGAACAATAAATTAGAACAACTGCTATTATGGATAAAAAGCACTATTTTGAAAGTAGAGTTACAAATTTCCTATCTGTTAATTCCAAAACTGATTAGTTGAATGTGGGAGAAGAAAATTACAATTTTTATTTGAAACTAAAAAGGTTATTTAGAGTGAAGTTCTTGGTGTTATAACTAAGTGGACCTTCCTAGGAGTGTGTTACAACCAAACGGGGAGTAAGTCAAACACTGATGATTATAAGGGAAAATTAACATAATATGACGCTAAGTTGTGGGTAAATTTTAACAATTAAATACAGAGGTGAATTGTGGTTGATTTGAATGTTGAACTCAACATTTATTGGGTGACAGGTCTTCTCAAACTAATTTGACAGATGAGATGATTGATGGACTGACTAATTTTGGGGTGGGTTAAATATTAATGTTTACAGTTTATTTACAGTATTATGGGGCGTTATGATTATTTTTTCCTTAAAATTAACATGGATGAACAAGATACTTTTGCATGGTACTTAGTAAAATATTACCTTTTAATGATTACTTGATTTGTTTATTTAATGACTATCTGATGTGTGAAAACATTAAAAAGAATGTTTAAGAGCAGATCATGATGAAATAACGCCACTAGATTGTTTTCTATTAAATAAATTTTTTACAGCTGGGCCATGACGAGAGACCAGAAGATTTTGATAAATACATAAAATGGGGTTTTATAATATAGATTTTCCAGGGAGTGAACTCGTGACATTTTTCTATCTAAACTGGGATTAAATTGAAGGGTGGTGGAATGGGTAAATAGATTTGTTGATTAATTGGCAATGTTTTTATATTAGATCACCAGGGGGAGTTGGGAGGTTTCTGTTATTTACATACAATATGCACGTTAAAACACGTTAATTGTTTAAATCAGATTATATTCACACAAACATATTTTTCTGCTGTGACAGGCTAAACATAGTGGCAGCGATCTGTGCAAATAAATTGGGTACTGCATGATTGAAAGGGAAGGGGGCACAGAGGTTTTTTTTTGTTTTTTGCCTTTTCAGATGGACACAATGGACCATGCCTGCCCTTGGAGTCAAAAAGAGAAGTTCAGGTTCTACAAACTGATTAACATATATTATAAACCAGATTCCAAAAAAGTTGGGACAATAAAAAAAATTGTGAATAAAAACTGAATGCAATGATGTGGAGATGGCAAATGTCAATATTTTATTC